GCAAGTAAAAACTTCAGAGAGTTTGCTGTCAGCGTGAAGTAACGATACGCTCAGCCCCCGACCGTGTTATCTCGGGTCGGTAGGTGAAACGTGCCTTCGTGCTCTTACTGTGGCGTATGAGAGGTAGCTAATTCGGGCTGATGCTCCCTCAGTGTGAGCTGATACCTGTTGTGTTAACTCTTGTTAGCACAGGCTGCGAGCTTGTACACATGGACAGTGAATCCGGCTCTGCTGAAGCACGGCGTTCCCTTCGCTAGGCTGAGGGCACTTGTTCAAACATCTGACGCTGCAGCTGGATGCCTTCCGCCTTCTCTTGCGGCTGAAGTTTCCCACCTTAGACACTAACCAAGGTATTTGTGCAGTGGAAGATGGAAAACAGCTTATTGAGGTTTGTCGGGTTTGTGAGAAGACCTTGGGCTGTGTTTCAGCCGTGTTTTCCTTAGCCTCTGAGAAACGCTCACGATACGAGGTAAAAGGGTCTGCTGCGTAGGCACAAGCTATTTATATCATAAATACAACCATGGACACAGCACCTGGTGTTGTACATAAAATATTTCTGTTCATTGTTAACAGCCCACTTTGTGGCAGTTAAGGTCACTGGAGCCTCTGCTCATTGCAGGTGGAGAGCTGCAAAGCCCTCTGCCTATCTGCCCTTGCAAAGGAGGTCTGGAAACATGTACATTGGGGAAAGCCTGATTTTTTTTTTCCCTGTTTGCCAAGAATTTTGCCATCTATATGTTAAAGTGACGGCTTTTGAGGGGGAAGAAGTCATAGATTTGTAACCGACAGTTTGCATAAATGTTCATGAGTCTGCCTCCATAGTGGTACCATTGAGGGGAAAGGTTTGGAATGGATGGGGAGCAGTTCGGAACTTAGAGGTGGCACCGAGATGGCTGTTTTCCTCCACGTTATTTGAGAATACTCCTTTACCCTTGGTAGGTGAAGCGGTAACTTGGTGTTGCCATGTCTTGGCTGCAGGGTGGAGATGGACAAGCTGACACTTGGTGAAGGTGGTAGGTCATTCTTCTGTGCATATATATTTCTCTTATCTGGCATTAAAACCTACTGCTAATATCTGTACACAATACAAGTTTTTAACTAGCACATGATACTGAGATGAAGGATAACTGTGAAGGTAAACGTGAGTTCAAGTAAATCAACATTCAAACTAGAGTTCCCTAGAGTTTGAGAACAAAGGGATCCACTAAAGGAATCCGACTAAGCAGTAATAATTAATTCAGCCAGTCTACCAGATTGCTGGGCTGAGCCAGTGTCAGAAACGTGATTTATCTTGATTTGAAGATAAAATAATCCACCGTTTGCCTCGGCACTGAGTTTCAGTCCCTAATGCAGTTTCTCAGTTTAGTTTAAGCTGAACTTCTGGCGTTGGCTTTCAGCCACTGGCTCTTCTGCCTCCCTCTGCTGCTGTAAAGAACAAGCAGCAGCATCCAGCATTTCCCTCTGGGAAGAGCTTCCTACCCTGTCATCAGGTTACGTGTGAAGGCAGCTTGGTTTAGCAACAAGGGCACGATCGGTGGGACCAGTTCAGGTGCCCCCCAAGTGTCAGTAAACGCTCAGCAAGAGAGTAAGCTGAGCCGAAATTACAGCAAGAGTATCTCAGCTGCTAGCTGCTGTTCCCATGCTCTGGAGAGCTCTCATCAGTGAGACCCATCCTTAATGAACTTTGGTGGATGGGATCGTGGTTTGGAAGCGGTGACAGCTCATGCAGGTTCAAGGCAGCAGTTGCCCTTTGTATGGCAGGATGCCAGTCCTTCAAAAAAAACCTGTTCAGTCGTGGTGCCAGCATGCCTGTAGGAAGCCTTGGACTGCTGGCTTCCAATCCTGTGCACTTAACAAGGTCATTCAGCTTAATTTTTCTGTTTGACTGTAACGTGTCTCAGTTGCTGGGAAATGCTCCTGTGGTGGGTGGTCTTGCTGACAGTCAGTGGGAGCGTGTTACCAGCCGTTAGGTCTGCTGGGGGTCTGTCCGACTAATCCCCCACCCCTGCTTGGCAGATCTCAAGCGTCTGGCTTCAAACCCTGCTTTTAAAAGGAGCTTCCAGGCATGTGCTAGCCTGCGGTGCTGCCGCGAGGCCAACCCAAAGGATCCGTGTGTGGTGTAAATACAAGTGTGGAGACTGGCACAGGCACACGCCTGGGGAGCCTCCTCTGTGCTGTGGCCTGTGTCCCTCATCGGGCAAGCAGCAATGCTGCCTCTGGCGAGGCTGTACAGCTGCTTGGGGGTGGAGGGCATCATGAAGGCTAAAATGAGTGGGGAAAAGAAGTAATTTCATGCACATGAGAGCAGAGATTCATCCAAGCTGTCCCTATGCAACCTGGTTCTTTCAGGCCACCTTTCATCCTTCTGTATGCCCTTTTATGCCATGTTGGGGGACATGTTCATTTTATTCTGGCTTTTTCTGCTCTTCAGGGCCAGAGCATGATCTAAGAGGAGCCCTGCAATATATAGGGAGAAAAAGAAGGCAGCTACGAGAAGCGATGGAACATGGGAATAAATCCAGCATCAGTAGAAACACACATTTTTAGTTAGGGCCATCCCTCACCCAGGTCTGTGTGGGTAGAGTACAGCTGAGTCACTGACTCCATTTCTCCTCCTCTGTAACAGTCTTTCTCCGCTCAGTGCCCGGGGACTGCTTTGGCACCTCTCTGCGCTTCGCCAGCCCCAGTGCTGTTTCTCAGAACGGCTGCAGTCGCTTGCTTGCGTGCCGTGTCCGTCGCTGGCATGCACCAGGGCCAACGTGGGTGGAACTATACGAGTTCCGCCAGGAAAGCTTTAAAGAAAGTTTTCTTTGGAAAGAGGTTGTAGACCTGCTTGATCTCTTGAGCCACACGAGAGCTGTGCTGCAGTAAACCAGCCCGCTGTGTCCAGCGTATATACACATTTCATACATCACCTTCACCTGGTGATCAGGTGTCCTGGCTGTTGCTTTTGCTGCTTGCATGGCTTACCAAAACCAGCCCGTACTGAACAGTGACTAAGTGGGGGTACTTGACATTTTGTGGAAACTTAAGTGTTTGTAGCAGTTCCTAAGTTAGGGGTACAGTCGGTTGCCGTTTGTGGCTACCTCAGCAAGTAATCTCAATCTCTTGTTATTTCTTAGATAAAACATGGAATCTGTTAGTTTAAAGGCAGATGTCAGGAAATTTGCTGTCTGGATTGAACATGGTTTGCACGCTTACTTTTATATTTTCATGTAGTAGCTTTTATGTTTGCTTTCGGTATAAACTGAAGTGCAGAGTCTCGAGAAGACTGGACATTTGAAATATTTGCTACTTGTGTCAAATCTCCAACCTCAGCATCAAACTCTGAGTTTGTGTTAGGAGGTGGGAGTTGTGAAGGGTGCTGGATGGAGAAATGGTGGGATTTCCTGGGCTGTAGAGAGATTTCCATTGTCTCATGTGGAAAAGAAAGGCTGTTCAGAGAGAGTGGGTTTTTTGTTTTCTGGTTTGTTTTGTTTTTGTTTTGTTTTTTTTTTTTTAATTTGGAAGCTGTCAGTTGAGAAGTTTTAGTAAGGTGGAAGCCTCAGTCTTGTGCAGTAGGAGAGCCCTGATGAATTGTATGAGCAAATGCAGAACTGACTGTTTTTGTTGTTTTTATTTTTTTGCTGCCTGTTGCTGTTAACACTGTTAAACACTTCACACTCCTTTTGAGGGAGAGACTCTGCACTAAATCCTTCCCAAGTGGGAGATGTGGGAGAAAGGAGTGAAGGGCTCATCCCCTTGTAGTACAAGCTTGGGGAGGTCCGTGCATAAGGCTAGTTTATTTTTAAGTATTTTTATGGAAAAGCATTAAAAAAAAAAAAAAAGCTTTGGAGCTTCAGATATCTCACCCCTGTCATGCTGTGCATCATGACCCCCTTTTTTCCCCCCAGCTGCATCTTCACATCATGGCAGGGAAGCCAGGACACGTGGAGGAAAGCAGGGGAATGAAATGCCCTTTGCTGCTGCTGCCGGGGAACAGCCTCAGGGTAAGTTAGCCTGATGGCTGGGCACTGGGAACTTCACCTGCAAGCTTGGTTTCGTTTTGTGCAGGTTTTTTCTGGTGTTGTCATGGATGGATTTAATGGGCCACGTTCTTTACTTCTCAAGCAGGTAATAACAGAGTCACCCAGTAAGGCAGCAGCGTTGCTCTGAGCTTGTGCTGCGCTGAAATCAGAATCTGGCCCTGCAGCTTTATTAAGAAAAGTAAATGTGAACACTCACCGATACAAAGGAGAGGAAAAAATATCTGCATTGTGTGAGTGGGGAGGAGGCTGCTGCAGTTCTGTCTCTGAAGGGCTCGTTATTAATTAGCTGTGTGCACAGTAAGAGCTTCTCTGGAGGATGAATGAGGTGCCTTAGCCTCCCTCTGCAAGCCTACCCTTTGTAACAGAGTTAGTGTTGGGGAGAGAGGGGGGAGCATATTCGGGATGGGTGGATTTAAGCTGCATGGGCTGGCAGGAGAGACCCTCCAGAGCCCGACGGTGGGTTTGGTGCGTTGCATTTCAAACCTGGGGTCCCGCACCGATGGGTCCCTGATGTCATTGCTGCAGTATGTCTCTCAGTCGCCAGTTTGCTTTTTCCAATTACCGGAGCCTCTGATGAGATTGCAAAGTTGTGGGTTACATTCCTTTGCCAGGAAGAATCCTGGAGAAATCTTGCATTCTTCCTAATGTGGGCTCCTTTCAGTGAACTAGATTAAATTCAGCCCTGGCACAAGTGTGCTGAAGTTGAAGTGCTCCCATTCAGTGTATTTCAGCTTCACTGCAGTCAGGGATGTTGCACTGGAAGAAATCAGGTCCTGGGTTGTCACGAACTGGTGTTCGCTGCCCTCTCTGTAGCCGCCCCAGCCCGCGGGCTGAGGCAGAGGGTCGGTGGTACCCAGCGCTGACATCCCGAGGGCTGGCGTCTCTCCTAACCGGGCAGGCTCAGGGAGAGGCTTTATCTGGGCTTGTCTGGGCTTGTTCAGGCCTGAGCCTGCCTTTGTCTTTGCAGTCCTAGAGATCGGGGTGGTTCAGAGAGCATCTGCTTTTGGATTTGCAGCTGCTCTGCTGACGAGAGCTCCTTGGGAGACCCCCAGCAACAATCCACTAAACTCGAGCTTTTCTGACCTTTGTCTCTCCAGGTAAGTGCAGTCTGTGTGCGTTTGTACTCGTGCCTGCAGATGTAGTGTCTGTATCTGCCTGGGTTGGACTCTGCCAGCTTTTCTGCAGAGCTCCTTGGTGTCTGAGTGGGGCTGTGGAAGGTGGTGGTGGTCTGTGCAAAAGTGTACGGACAGGTGAGCTTTCAGAAGTCTCGAAAGTAGCGTAGGAAAATATTACAGCAACAGCCCCCGCTACACTGTTGTGGTAAAGGCTGCTTCCCTTTCTCTTTTCTTTCCCCTTCCCTAGCCCCTTCCCTTCAAGCCCTTCATACACAAATGCACGTTGGAGTTGGGGCTACTGGTCAGTCTCTAGTTTTGGAGGGATCCCAGAAAGTAATTAATAGCAGCCAGAAAAGCAGCCGTGTGCTCACACTGTCCGAGCGTGCTGCAGCTGCACAGGGAGCCGAGGATGGTACTTGGCAGCTTGAGCCTAGCGAGCCGTAAGTGGTTCTGAGTTACCTCTCTGGCTTCTGCATCCGGGAGACGAGGTAGGTGGATTGATGTGGTGTTGGCCCCGCTGATCCATTGTCCTGTCCAGCGTTTACATGGGGAACATGGAAGCTTGGTGTGTAAATCCCTGCTCTTTGCAAGGAGCTGGCAGCTGTTCTCTTCGGCGACACTTGGCACGGACTGTCCTCTCCATGGTATTTCCAGTGTTGTTACCTGGCTTAGCGTGTTGCCTCCACATTCATTTTGTAGCGGGAAGGGTAAATAACGGAGCTCAAATGCTGGTATCACCTGAAGCTCACAGGGGGGGAAGGCTCTGTTAGGCTGGGCTTGGCTTTGTTCCCCACTGTCCCCTTCGGTCTCCCTGAGCGCTGGGGAAGTGGAGCTTGGCTCTACCTGCGTCTGGGCGTCTGTGCAAACCACCAGTGGGATTAACTATTATTAACTGTTATTTTAGGTAGGAGACAGGCCTTTCCCTCCCTCAGGAAGGGCAAGCTCAGATGAGAATTGAAAAAGACACTTACTGGGAGTCATTTCAGATCAGAGCTGAACCAGTCCATGAGAGCTGATTGTGTGCACCAGCACAGGTCTGGGCTCAGGGTCTGGTCCTGCTGCCTTCCAGGGGCATTTCAGCAGAGCAGCTGGGGTGAGTGGATATGAAGTTTTCTTCTCTGTTTTGAAGACAAGTCCACCCATGCTTACCTTTTATATCTCTGATGTAAAATGTATTAATTTGTAAGCAACCTACCTCTCATCTGTACAGTCTGTTTTGGTATTTTATTACCGGTGTATATGCCAGTGTGTTTTGGAGTTTCCACCTACTGAGGGTGAGTTTGATTGTTATTGGCTTCATCATTTTTGAGCGCTGTGAGGTGCTTTTTTTGTTTTGCTTAGGAGACCAGAGCTAACGAGGATTATTTTGCAGGACCTGAAAGTAAACATGTCCTATTTGAACATGATGAATGCTTCTCTCTTCTAGTGACTACTTTACTACTTGCCAATACCATCAGTGGTAGACGCAATGTTAAAGATGCACCATTCCAGCAAGGAGTGGTGTTTGTACACGTGTTTACATTTGCAGGCAGCTGCAGGGAATTTCAGATTGGGCCTTAACCCTCTGACAGTTCCAGTGGGCACCTTGGTCAGACGGCAGCTCTTCTATTCTTTGAAGAACTTGTAGTCTAACAGAGTAATGTATTTTGTGGATGGGGTTGCATCTAGGACTCTGCTTCAGGCCTAATGACTGCAACAAAGCCCCGTGCAGGGTGAAACTGTTGGCTCTTGGCTCTGTGAAATGACTACGCAGCCTAAATTCCAAACAGGGTAAGAGGGGCAAGGATTCTTAAATAATGAGTCTCCTTTTTTCTTCCCTCCCACTTGGTGCCCTCTGCACCTGACCCAAGGATGGTGAGTACAGGCAGTTCTGGTGACCATGCTTCTGTCTTGTCATCTCACACTGTGTTTTGTCCCCCAAGAGAAAGTTAATTGACCTATTTTGCTTCAGAAAGCTGAGGCACATTAAAAAAAAAAAATAAAATTGAGGGGTGAGTAATGTTGGAGCACTAACATGAGGCTAAAGTCATTGCTTGGGCAACTCCACTGATTTTGGTGGAGTAATGCTAGGGATGCTTGTTGCTTTTGTCCCTTTGACTTCAGATGGAGATGCTTTAAGACTAGTTTTGTGGGGCTTTTTAACTTTATTCTCACTTAAATGGCTGAAAAAACCCTCTAGACAGAACTATGGATAAGCTTTAGGGAATTTGATCAGAGCATGAAAGGAAAAGCTCCTCTGAAAACAGTAGCTTATGAATTGTCTCTTGCTGTTAGCTGACGGGTCGTTTTCTCTTGTGCTTTCCTCTGTTTCACTCTGTTCTGTATCGTGGAGGAAGGACAGGCTTATAACGTAAGTGACACAATAGCACATGAGAAGAGAGCTTTTTTCTGGAGTGACCTATTGACATCTCGGTGCATGGACCTTGTCTCAAAGCATGGGGGAACTAGAGGATTTTTAGTGCAGCTTTTGAAAACTCTTCTCCTTACACTCACTTATACTATGGCCGTGAAAGAAAGCTGGTTAAATGAGAAAACATCAGTGCTTTATTGCTGAAAATATAAACCACAGTATTTTCTGCTTGTAATCTACAGCTGGATGGAGAGGAGTTCTCACTAGATTTCCTTGTATGACTGGGATCTCATGTTGAGTATACAATGAAACTTGCTAGTCCATTTTGTAGGTAAGTCTCTGTTTTCTTGTATTTTGAAGGTAGAACACAAGTAATCTTCCAGTAACTGGTACAGACTATCGCTTAATGCAAATAGAGAGAAGTTAATAACACATGAGCCATTGATTTTTTTTTTCCAAAGAGAGAGACTCAGCTGAAGGGGCTTATACAACTGTGGGACTCTAATTAGAGCCTTCAGTTTTATGTGGTGTTCTTTTTTTTCCTTTTTTTTTTTTTTTCTGTTTGCATTTCCATGTATTGTAGGAGAAGTGACCGGGCATTAAAGCTATGCCCAGCCTTTCTGAAGCAACCTTCTCCCTGAAATAAGAATCGTTCACCCAGTGGACAAGAGAAGGCTTTGGTAAAAGGAATTAAAGAGATTTTATACTACTGAAAATGGACTCTGAAGGTTTTTGACTCAAGCCTTCCTGTAGATGTTTCCCCTGGTGATGTGGGTCTACTGCTATACCTCTTTAGCAACTAAGATGCAAGAGTCTTACCTTGTCTAGAATATTGCAGTGCACTCATCATTAATTGCAATGCATCTTTTACAAAGGGTAACAGTCTTTTGTGCAACTAGATACAGCCCATGTCAGGTTTTGCTAAATGCAGGCTTTATTCGCCTCAGAAGCCACCTGAGGATGAAGTTAGGTGCAGGAGCAATGTCTGGCACTGTTTCAGTACAAGTAACCTTGGGCAGGGGCAATGTGGGGAGGAAGATGTGCTTCTGGGAAGCATCTGAGGATAATGTCCCCAGTTGTGTTGCAGGCATCCTGTTGCCCTTTTGCCAGCTTTGGTGTCACATCTCATCTCCTTGGGCAGATAGTAAGGCCAGATAACATGCTCACAATAATCCTGATCTTCACATCTCCTGCATGTTTGGTGGTGCATGGTGAGCATCTCTTGGCAAAGAGGGTGGTGACACCTTCAGCCAGTGGTGCCTGGGACTCCTCTGAAGTTCTCTGGCTTTTGTGGCGAGGGGTTGACTGAGCAGTAGTGGACGTCAAAATGTAAATTGCCCTAATGCAGCTCAGACAAGCAGGGCAGGCAGCAGACCCTGTTTTGACACTTGGCCTCTTGCTTTGAGGCAAAGATGCACAAAAAGGTGGGTCTGACCTTGGAAGAAAGGACAGGGGCATGTCCAGGAGGAGATCCTATACAGATCTATACAGATCCTATGCAGACCCCTCAAAGTCCTGATAAAGGAGGAGCCTGAGCTTAGCAAGCGAGAAAGGACAGAACTGCTGTGACAGTAAAATCGCTGCTGTGAATCATCCTGGCAGGGACCTCTCTGTCCCAGCAGAATGAATTGGGGGAACAGGTCAGTAACGTCTTGGCTTGGATGAACTTCTCTTTCCCAGCCCCTAGGCTATAAAACCACAGGTTTTTGTGTTTTGACGTGCTAGAATAGACATGGGGCTACTGACAGCTGTGACTCTGGGTTTATGATCTATGGCTAATGCTGGCGCATTGCTTGGTTAATGAGTCATGGGTGCTTACGTGTGGCTTTACAGTCCTCCGAAAGCTGCAATGCTCTGGACTCTGCCCAGGCCTCTCCCAAGGCACTGAATCAGCAGAACCCCTGCAGAGCCTCCTGTTCTTGGCTTGTGCTGACTGCTGCAGTGGAGCCAGCTAGGAAAAGGGGGAGCCTTGCTTCCAGGAGCTACAACGGCATTGCAGCCGTGGATGGGGCTCTCCGCTGTGCTTCACCGTTCTGCACGGCTCGCTGCTGGGAAGTCAGTTTGTCTGCGGCATGTCTACATAAAAAGTGATGGCACTTAAGTAGCTAGCTCAGGTGCTGGTAGAACTGTGAGCTGTTTGTGTAAGGCTCCATAATGACAGCTCCTTAAAGAATTCTCAGAGATGCTATATGGGGAGAACCAGCGTTGGTGGTATTTGATAAATGACTACAGAGCAGGTTTCACAAAAAAATGTTGCTTCTGCTTAAACACTTGGGTTCGGTCTGTCTGTTTTTAAGTTAGATAAGATATGGGGAGGGGATTGCATAAAGGGAAGAGATAACATGCAGCAAGTTTGGTGTGTGGAATCAGATGGCACATCTGCTCTGGTGTCACACCAGTCTAGGTGCTCCTCTGGCCAGTGAGGTGGAGCTATTTTACAGAGCTTGCAGTCAAAGTTAAGATGTTGCTGCTGGACACTGATCTCATTTGAGAGAGAAGGGGGGGGGACACGGACAGCAATGAAAGCTTTGTTAAATATTGTAGGGGAGGAACAGAGTTTACTAGAATGTGGCAAGCAGAGGGCTTTTTTTGCTTGTCTTCATGTAAAAATAGAATGAAATCTGAAAGAAAGGAATTTGCACTGAATCTGGCAAAGAATGAATTGCTTAACTCTGCAGCTGGTGTACTCTTTGTGCGGGCATGTTTCTCATTGCACAGTATGTGGAGAAATTCAGTGTGTGATGTGTGTGTTCTAGGGGTTTATCTTGTTTTGCTGTGGGGGTTTAGTATTGCTTAAACCAGTGATACTGGCCAGGCCCAGTGAGGTCCCAAATGGAGACTCACCTGGGTGAGATGTGGTAGATTTTAAATCTGATGCCTTTGAAGGAATGGGAGGAGGCTGTTGCTGTAGATTTTCTTCATGGTATCTCTAACTGTACCATGTTTTATGGAAAGCTTGTGTCTGCATTTCATGGGGTGGGTGATTGAGTGACAGACATAGGTGTTCTGCAGATCTCCGTAATGCAATAACCTGAACTCTGTCCTGAGTTTTCCCCTGTTACGTCTGAGAGCTTTTGTGCTCCTCAGAGTGCAGGAAAGTTTCTGGAAAGAAGCTGCTGAGAGCAGATCTGGCTCTTCCATTTGCCACGTGATCCCAGGGCTACAAAACTGCTGCTGCTTTTTCACTTGTCACCTGCAATAAGATGAAGATAGCCTTTTACCCAGGTGGCTGTGTCCCTCTGAGCTGAGTGGCAAGCTGAAAATCAGCAGAGCTAGGAACGCAGCTGTCCTACAGGTAGAAATGCACACCCATCTCAGACTAGGACTCCACCTTTTCCCCTGTCACGTACCTATCTTGGGTGATTTTTGCCTGTCTTGCAGTGCCTTTCTGTAAAACACAGTGAGTGCTGTGTATTGTCTTCTCTTAGTTCTGCGCTGTAGGCAGCCTGTGACTCACTGCGGAGGGATTGTCCCATTTCCTCATTAGCTGTGAGGTTGGCCTGCAGGAGTGGTGGCAGTTCGTGGGGTGGAGTCGTCGTTATATCAGAAAAGGCGGAACCGTCCGAGTTTGCAGTGAGTCTGAATTATGAAGCAGGTGCCTGCACTGCTCTGGAGCTTGTGCTCAGCTTGTTTGTGGTTATGTCGAGCCTAGCAGCAGGAACCTGGGGTCACCTGGGGGCTCAGATGGACTTTGGGTACCACTGCCACTGGATCGTCTACCACAGAACTGTAAGAAACTGGTAAATACCTTTGCTCTGTAGGGTCATGTCAGTACATCTCGTAAGGAAAGTTTCTGATGTATGATGAAAAAAGACAATCAGGAGGTGCTTAAGCAGCTTGTGTCCTGTATTTGGGGAATTCGGCTGTTGCAGGGAGTTTGGAGGAGAAGAAACGACCAGGAAAGGTAGGATAATAACAGTGCTTAACAAGCTGTGTGAAGAGCCATAGCCCAGAACCATTTTCTGGTGGACTTGGTGGTAAATCGTGGGTGTTGCAGTAGAAGATGGGATAATACAGCACTAGTTGGAAAATTTTTGGAGAGATTAATCCAAGACTCAGAATCCACATACAGGATTTGTATCAAATCCAAGTCAGAATTGATCCAGTGTATTCTTATCTTAAAAAGGGAAACCTGCCTGTAAGGTTGTAAGTCAGGAAAACTGACTAGATTTGGAGAAGCAAGACGCTTCCTTTCCTACCTGAAGGTTCATAATTGGAAAGACCGACGCTTTCCTTGGGAGAACAGAATTTGTTCTTGCTCTGCAACCAAACTAGTGGTTTGGTATAACTTTAAGATGCTTTTTCTCTGGGATGCCAGTTCATCCTGGTAAGCATGATAGAGTCAGCTGGACATTACTTCTAATTCTGTGGTTTAGAAGTAGAGAGTGTCAATTAAAACAGTCTGTACAGAAGACACCAGAGCATCCTGATCTAGTTTTGAAGTTAGCCTTGCTTAAAATAGGCAGTTGAACTAGCTGATATCCAGGAGCTTCTTCCAGCCTTAATCTTTCTGAAGTTTGAAAACTGTCATTTCATCTTTTTCATTCAGGCTTTCTTTTGTGGCTCAGTTTCACCCACAGATTTCACAGGTGAAAATTCAGCTTTGTTTTGCCTTAAAATGAGAAATATTTGAAGCTTCCAGTGGATCTGTTTACACCAGGCTTTTCCAGCCGGAGTTGCTCAAATCTTTAGAGAAACTTTGTGTGACTTCAGATACTAGCTCAAAGTTTGTGATCAGGTCAGTCATAGCTTAAAACTCCACTTGTTGACAACAGGAGGATTGCACAGTAATGGGAATGAACTTGAAGTAAATGTGCTTAATTAAGTGAAACTTATGGGATCACATGTTTCAGTGATGACAGAATGATTGCTGCAGATCTTACCTGGCAGGACTTTTTACCTTTCTTGGAATGCAGTATTTCCGTAACAGGAGAGTATTTCCATCTTCCACGCCCATCAGCTTGTTGTTTTATAGTAGTGATTTCTTTACAGGCTAATTCCTTGTGCTGTTAACATGATCCACCAAACAACTTTTTCCTGCTGCTTTGTCCCTCGCACGGTCACAGTGAGATTAAGCACAAATTTGCATCTAGCCACTTAACCTAGCACAGGACTGAGGTGAGCTGGTGCGATCTGCGCCGGCTGGGTCACCTCTCTTCTGGAGAAGCATCCCAACAACCAATGTGAAGTGAAATGGGTCAAGTGTTACTTTTTCTCTAAAGGGAAAATTGACTTTTGGGGCAAACTCTGAGTTCTTAACCTTCAAATTCAACTACATGTGTGTGACCATGTAAAATCTGAGTGGCACCTCTGGCCTTTAAATTGTGCTCAGGGATGCTGATACACACTGTGCTGTCCTTGATGGTTTTGGTCACGGTTCCCTAAAGCAGAATGCTTCCCTCCATGCGCAGTCACAGTAAACTTGCCAGGTATTTGAACTAAAGGGAGGAGAAAAGGACTTGCTGTTAGACAAGCTATTGAAACAGAAAGGTTGCTCAGCTTATCGGCCGGCATCTTTGCAGAGATCTCTTCTAACTCTAAACTAGGGAAGTTGTTTGGCTTCCCCATCAGACTTCAAAGCTGTTCCCAAGTCAGTCATCCCTAGAAATATAGCTTCTGAGCATCCAGAAATAGGAGTGAACTCAAGAGCTGGATAACTTTTTTTAATATTGCAAATG